ACTGAAACAATTTGGCTACGGTTACAATAAGTTTTGATCATATTTAGTTCAGTTCCTTGAAATCCATAATGCTGCAATTTTAATAATATTACATCATGTCGCAAGCAATCAAAAGCCTTTGATAGGTCACAAAAGACACTGGCACATCTATTGGAATTGTCCAAAGATTCTAGAATGAAGTAAATTACTTTCTTATGGCCATTTCGGTTGATCGTCCTTTTCTAAATCCAAATTGTGCCGTTGTAAATAAATGATTTTCTTCAAAGTAACTTACAATTCTAGATTTTATAATGGCTTCTAATATTTTTGATAACGTCAGCAATATACAACCTGGCCTGTAGTTACTGAGTTCTGTGGAATCCCCATTTTGAAAAGTGGAATTACCCTACCCGGTTTGAGTACGTCGGGGAATATGCCATTAACTAAGCAGGAATCGACAACAATAAATAACAATTCGAATAAATTATTGTTCTTTCTAATAAGATTTCTTAATGTTCTGGTGTTAATATCGTAAATGTCTAACGTAGATTTTTGCTTCATACTAGTAACAACCTTTTTTAGCTCTGTATGATCTAATGGGTAAAAAGAAATAGATGTAAGTGGTCTATTTGAGCAATCTAAATACTTCATGCAGTTTTTTTTGCGTCAACTTCTAAGTTGCTTGTTAATCGATGTGCAATATTGCAGAAAAAAATCATTAAAACTTCTTGCAATTTTTGAGATTCTGTAATAATCTGCCCACTATTCTTTCTTATAGATTCAATTTACATTGTGTGTTTTGACGTTTCTTTTGTCCTATCTGCTCATTTATAATATTCCACGATTCTTTAATTTTATTTTTTGCCTCCTTAATCCTATTACGATATTGAATTTTTTTGCGGATATCATTGTTATTAGCAATAATTTCTTATATTTTTTAATTTTTAATTTTCTCTGTTCGCTAGGGTAATATTCTTGTAATATTTCCATTTTAGTTAAGTTTTTCTTACTTGTTTCTATACCTAATGTAGTGCATTTTTTAAGTTTGCTTCTTATTTTGTTTTTTTATTTTTGGAAAAGCAATGTTGTAATAATGATGCAACGCATCTTATAAAATTCTCATTCTTGTGTTCGCGTCTTCAGTCATTATAATTTCTGATTTAATCACATTGTATTTTTATTATACAAATAATTAAAGTAATTAAGATTATTTCTTGAAAAATTTCTACCTACATAAGTTTGACATTTATTGTTACAGTTTTTTAGATTAACTAATTCTAATTTAATTACATTATGATCAGAAAGTTTTTCACCTAATACACATCCTTTATATTCATTAAAATTGACAATAAAGTTATCTATACAAGTAGAACTGGTTTTATTTCGTTTATTTGTTTCAGTTCTAGTCGGTTCGTTTAATACCCATTTACAATTAAAATTTTTAAGTATCTTGTCAAGTTTTTAATATTTGTGTCAATTTTTAAAACATTTAAGTTCAAGTCACCTGCTATTACAATTTGTTTGTTCTCTCGACAAAGTTTATTTAAAAGTTTTGTAAGTATTTCAAAGAATAGACTGATATCATAGTCAGGTCGGTATAGTGCAATGATTATTGTTTTTGAGGATTTTAATTCTATTGCTGCTAATTCATAATTAATTTCAAATGATAGTTTATTCAAGTCGTTCCTAATTTTATATTGTAAAGTATTTTTCACATATATCGCCGCTCCACCGTGTTCAAAAACTATTCTGTTAAAACAAGTCGCGAGTGTATAGTTTTCAATAGTCATCGCTTGTATCTGACAGTTTTTACCCCACGTCTCCGTCAAACACAACACGTCGCAGTCCTGTTCATTAGCTAGGCTTTCGATTTCTAAGTATTTTTTATGTATGCTTCGAACATTCGCATGAAGAATTATCGTTTTCGAATCGATTCTTGAGTTGTTGAAAACTTTGTACCTTTATCACTTGAGGAAGTGTGTTCGTTTTGGCTATTTGATGAAACGCAGATCATCCTTGAAACTTGCAGTTTATAAGTGTTACTACATTTTCTATGATGAAGTTTTTCAATAATTTATAGTTCCTTGTATTTTCATTTATCATATTCGGGTCCAGAAATTTGATATTTTCGCTAACTTTAGTTATGTTAAATATTTGATTGTTGATATAGTGAATCTCGTTGTCATTCTTGCCATTATAACGCAAACCAGTGATTATCATGTTAAATTTCCTACAAGGCTGGTTTACAATGTCGTTCAATAGTTTTATGTACTTTTGTTGATTATGATAAAGAGAACTTTCATATTTAGTAATAAGTACTGCTACTGTATCATTTTTTCGAGATCTTTAATCTTTTTGCCATACTTTTCTAATATATTTTGAAATCCTGCGTCCGGTTTATAGTTGTTAATTGCTTGAAATTCAGTTTTTTCTATTATCTTTGACGCCAATCCTTGTCCGATACTATCCGAAAATATTACAATGCTATTGCTTTTTGGCTTTTGTTTAGTTTTCTCATTGTATAATCTTGATTTATTTAATATTATAGGCATATTATAGGCATGTATTCTCTACTTCTATAGCACTACAGTTTGACTCATCTAACTCTATTGATCGGCTTTGTCCAAATTTCTTATCTTTTTTCTTTTCCGTGGTATTTCGCTTTGTAAGAGATGCGCGCCTTTTGGGTGTACTCATCGCTTCAGTAAATAATTTCTTCCATTTTACAGTCAGCGTTTCCTTTTCTAAAATTTGCTTTTCTAATTTTGATTTCCATGTTCAAATTTTCTATTTCACTATGAGCTTTTTCTAACTCTATTTCAAATGGGTGATTTCTTTTAACAACTCTTCCTCTCTGTCATTTTTATAAGTACTAATATCTGGCAGGCTATGTAGGTCATCATCGGAACTATTTGATTCTTCTTCTTCAGACTTATGCAATGGCGTTACTGGAAGTGCCTTATGCCCAGTGCTTCTTTTTGTCACGTTAGATGCACAGGGAGTGTCGGTGTTTTCACTCGCTATTGATAGCCCTGCTTTGCAAGTTTGGCATTTCCAGCTTTCATTTTTTAATTTTTCAATGATATTAACTTTGGCACTCAATACTTGTGCACACGTTATGTCGTAAAAATTTTTGCAAGATGCGCAACAAAGTATATCTTTTTTTTATTTATTTTCTTTTGGCACTTAAAACAATTAGGGTTGACCATTTTCTGAGCTATTTTTCTATCCATATTTTTTTCTAAGTAATAAAGTAAAACAGTAATAAAGAGAAAAAAAAACAATGTAAATAGTATCAATCAGCTGCGAGATTTATATTACCACCATGTAAGGCATACAGTGTGCAGTATGGGACGACCATATAATGTTTGGAGCCGCATTACAGTCCGTCACCAATGAGTCTTATTATTCAAACTTCGTTGCACCGTTAAATGTAACTTTATAAAAATAAAAAAAGTATGAGGGTGTACAGAAATCATATTACCGCTTTAAATAATTTCACTATGTTACTGTTGCAATGGAGAAGATAACAAGGTTACAATATTAAACTTTTAAGTACGTAGGTAAAATGTCTAGACCAAACACATAATTCTAGTTTTTATTTCACATCGATCGGTGCACTATTACCGAAGTTATAAGCGTGGAAAGTTTACGTACATTTTTAAAATCTCGCCCGTGCCCGCAAGTAACGCGTGACGTCATAGATTCCATGCGGCCGCGCCGCCATACCGTTCCAGCGCGCCGATCATACGTTTGTAGTCATTGAATTAATATATAAATCAATGTTTGTAGTAATATTTCGCAGGTGAGTTGTTTGCCGTCGTGTGCTCTGGTGTTTTTAAGTATTTAATGATGGAAGAAGGGTTTCAAAAGGTCAATCTGACAACCTTCCAATAGTGCGTGACATGATGGTGGCGGAATATTTTCTAAGAAACAAAGATTTTGTCGCGGCTGAAATACGCATAAGATGGGTCATTATCAGGCGACTCATTATTTGGTTGATTTCGGTGGCATTTTTTGTTTTTAAATTTAGGCCTTACTAACATGAAATATCTATTCTAGAGTTAATTTTTTTTTATAGAAGAGGGGGCAAACGACCATGTGGCTCACCTGATGTTAAGTGACTACCGCCGCCCATGATCTACCGCAACACCAGGGGAATTGCAGGTGCGTTGCCGGCCCTTTAGAAAGGAGTAAGCTCTTATATATAATTTAATATATATATAAGTAGAAGAGGGAATCGTATAGACCGAATGATTAAGAAGGTATTTAATTTAAAAAAAATGGTGTCCACCGAAATCAAATAAATATAAAATAATTTATATTTCAAAGATAATTTTCTTAAGGTAAATTTACTGCCTACTTGATAACTACTATGAACTTATGATCTGTAAAGAATTGCAGGTTAATTCGACAACAAAAAAAATTTATGTTATCAAGACTTATGTGTAACCATTTTTATTAATTTTTGTGAAAACTTACAAAAATCAACTTTGGTAGAAAGCTTCAAATTATTATATTAAATGTCATTAAAGATAGTAGTCTTAAACTAACATTATAGGAACTTAAAAAAAAATCAGCATTCTTGGTCGAGATCTAGCTTAATCACAGTCAATTTACTTATTGAAAAAAATTACTACAAAATCACTTAAAAATCAATCCTTTAAACAACATCAACAATTGTAGAAGGCACTTACATAACTAATAGTATTTGTATTTTTAATAAAAATATTACTTTTTCTTTTGATCTTAAGACAATTAAATAAGCTTTAGGTATAATAATCACCCAGCATTAAATTAACAATGTAATAAACTTCTTATAAAACTTTGTATTACAGTTTTCAATCCTTAATTAAAAAAAATTTATATTCCTCGTCACTACTTTCTTTACAATTTACAATTTTGGAGACTACTTCATTCATTAATGTCGGAGCAATATTTTCACAATCTGTCGACACACGTGTCCAGAAGCTGTCACTTTCAAGTAATCCAATGTCTGAAGGTAAGGTATGGGACAGGCGCTATTTGGTTTCATAGAACTCATCAGCAAGATCAACAGAATAGCTACAACCAGGTTGAATAAGAATATTCGATAAAATTTGAGGCTTATTAGATTCAGTTGCACTAACTCCACTCCCTTTTTTGGCTTGACTTGACTTTTTAATCAGATTGATCTTGTCACTCTTGTTCTTGTTCGTTCTATCAGTCAACAGTCTATCAGCTTGCTCGCCTATGATGTATAATCCTACATGATACCCATGTTCACATGACACAGAATTATTTTTACATTCACCTTCGGCGCAACTCATTTTTCTCATCGATAGTTGGTTGGGCTTATTGGCGTTCCATACTGCCTGATGTACTTTCATAGTCCCTGCAAATTGCTTGAGATTGAATGGAATTAGCAATTCTTTTTCATAAATACCGGAATCGTCAATAGATTTCGTTATAATACCTTGAACAGATTTCAGATGAGTCATCAATGATGATAAGCTTGTGATATCATTGCCTTGAGCAACTATTCGATCAGCTGTTGTAGTGTTATGCTTACATACATACTTACATATCATTTTACACTATTTTATTTTTATTTTTCCATTCTGTTTTTGATTTTCTACATTCACCTCAAAACTGGATATTTTGCATCACCTTTATTTCCATAGGATCCTGTAATATTTTTAATTCATAAGAACACAATAACAAATCATTTTCACTTCGTATTTTCACGTTATCAGCACTTTTTTAAATCGGTGTCAATGGAGTCTACCTTTTTCGATCTTTTATTTAGTTCTCCGTAACTCTACAATTTCGGGTTTCGTGCGCGCTCTTGCGCTACCTTTTTTCCTATATAAATAATATCTCATTTTTCACTTAAATCTTGCCGTTTCTGTATTACGAGCTTAAAACCAAAATTTGACATGTTTTGACATCGTTGTTTATCTGGTTGTCGTGGCAATTTTTATTCAAATATTGTTACCGGCCTGATGTTTTTACTTCAAAAATACTCTTTTCTTCTTGGCCATTTACAAAAATTTGCTTTTAATTTAAATAATTTCAAATAATTTCTCGTTCTTATCCCAGATCCGTCAAAAAGTATAAAAGCCGAAGAATCGGCCGATAGAGGGCTCACTTCAGCTTTGATACGAGAAGCACCTCTGAAAGGCTTTATCCGCACTGCCTCGGGATCTTGCAAGCCTTCTCCTGAAGTCGTCGCCTAGCCACGCCTACGCCTCCACCTATTAGTGCCCGCGCTATCTTCAGCCGCTGAGCGTGCTTGTCTCAAGCGCTGCGTGTTCCTACTCCAGACGCTGCGTGTCTACTCCGGGTGCTGCGTGTATCTGCTCCGGGCGTTGCGTGGGCCTACTCCAAGCGCTGCGTGTACCTTCTCCAGACGCTGCATGTGCTTTCTCCAGATTCTGCGTGTACCTAGAGCAGGCGCTGCGCACCTATCATAGGCATAGCCTGTGCATACTTCGTTGCAGTATCTTTATTTTTGTTATTTTTTTTAATAATATTGTAAATCACTATCATCATTACAGCCCATCATCACCTTCATACCTTTTTTTTATAAAAGAAACTGTAAATCTTTTCAAATTTTTAAATAATTTATTTTATTTTTGGTTGTTTTGTTGTAGTTAGGTTAGGTTATTTAGTTTTTAATTGTCGCTTTACGACAATTTGGCGCCCAACGTAAAAGTTCTTCTTTTCTTCACCTTAGCTACGCCTTATTCATTTCCTTTTGATTGAATTGCTTTCTCTTTCATTCTTAACTCTTTATTTACTCATCCTTATCATATCTTCCAAATTCTAAAACAAAACTTCATCTAGTTTTTCAACTTATCTGGATTATATTTAGACCTACATATAACACTTACATTCATCACCTTAATATTTTTATTCTAGAGAACTTAAAGAGGTACTATCTTCCAAATTCTAAAACAAAACTTCATCTAGTTTTTCAACTTATCTGGATTATATTTAGACCTACATATAACACTTCACTTACATTCATCACTTTAATATCTTCCAAATTCTAAAACAAAACTTCATCTAGTTTTTCAACTTATCTGGATTATATTTAGACCTACATATAACACTTCACTTACATTCATCACTTTAATATTCTTATTCTAGATAACTTAAAGAGGTACAATTTTTAATTACATTTTTATTTCTTAAACTTAACTTTGCACTTAATTATAACAATGAAAAGGGTTATTAAGTACGAATTCCTTAAAATACGAAGTGAAGATTAGATGTGAGGAACCAGCTAATACTGTTTTGCATGACACTACATTTGTATATATGTTTGTATATTTGTATATGTGTTTGTATATTTGTATATGTGTTTGTATATATGTATAATTATTACCTGATTAATTTCTTTATCTTTATCTTCACTCAGGAGCGGATTACAACTCCTTAAATAAGCCTGAATGTACTTTTAGTGATGTTGCTCATCTCTGGCTTTGAGCCCTACCGCTCTGGCCGTTCTTAATCTTTACTTAAGTCATAGCGACTAAAGCTTGCTTAAGATTAATTTCTTTAACTTTATCTTCACTCAGGAGCGGATGACAACTCCTTAAATAAGCCTGGATGTCCTTTCGAATTTTTTTTTCCACGCAGGAGCGGATGACAACTCCTTAAATAAGCCTGAATGTCCTTTCGAAAACACACTTTTAGAGTGGTAGTCATTGAATGTGAACTCCACCCTTACCTGAATGCAGATGATGAATGTAAGAGATAGTATATCTGATATTGCCTGGTGATGTCTGTTACTGCAAAGCTGTGTTTTTATGGTTTATTTTGGAATGTACATCTCAAAATTTTTGCTGAGTCAAAAATTTTCCAGGGTCGGGGGGGAAAATGTAGTGTTATGCTTACATACATACTTACATATCATTTTACACTATTTTATTTTTATTTTTCCATTCTGTTTTTGATTTTCTACATTCACCTCAAAACTGGATATTTTGCATCACCTTTATTTCCATAGGATCCTGTAATATTTTTAATTCATAAGAACACAATAACAAATCATTTTCACTTCGTATTTTCACGTTATCAGCACTTTTTAAATCGGTGTCAATGGAGTCTACCTTTTTCGATCTTTTATTTAGTTCTCCGTAACTCTACAATTTCGGGTTTCGTGCGCGCTCTTGCGCTACCTTTTTTCCTATATAAATAATATCTCATTTTTCACTTAAATCTTGCCGTTTCTGTATTACGAGCTTAAAACCAAAATTTGACATGTTTTGACATCGTTGTTTATCTGGTTGTCGTGGCAATTTTTATTCAAATATTGTTACCGGCCTGATGTTTTTACTTCAAAAATACTCTTTTCTTCTTGGCCATTTACAAAAATTTGCTTTTAATTTAAATAATTTCAAATAATTTCTCGTTCTTATCCCAGATCCGTCAAAAAGTATAAAAGCCGAAGAATCGGCCGATAGAGGGCTCACTTCAGCTTTGATACGAGAAGCACCTCTGAAAGGCTTTATCCGCACTGCCTCGGGATCTTGCAAGCCTTCTCCTGAAGTCGTCGCCTAGCCACGCCTACGCCTCCACCTATTAGTGCCCGCGCTATCTTCAGCCGCTGAGCGTGCTTGTCTCAAGCGCTGCGTGTTCCTACTCCAGACGCTGCGTGTCTACTCCGGGTGCTGCGTGTATCTGCTCCGGGCGTTGCGTGGGCCTACTCCAAGCGCTGCGTGTACCTTCTCCAGACGCTGCATGTGCTTTCTCCAGATTCTGCGTGTACCTAGAGCAGGCGCTGCGCACCTATCATAGGCATAGCCTGTGCATACTTCGTTGCAGTATCTTTATTTTTGTTATTTTTTTTAATAATATTGTAAATCACTATCATCATTACAGCCCATCATCACCTTCATACCTTTTTTTATAAAAGAAACTGTAAATCTTTTCAAATTTTTAAATAATTTATTTTATTTTTGGTTGTTTTGTTGTAGTTAGGTTAGGTTATTTAGTTTTTAATTGTCGCTTTACGACACTGTTCTTTTGAGTGTTGCACCGACACCATCTGGGGCTCCTTTTCCATGGCCACTTTCTGTATAATTCCGTGTAACACTAGTCAAACTGGGAAAGTACCAATGGAGTTTACTGATGATATAAAACATTTTACGGTTTCGGTACTGAGCCGACGGACTATCAGAAATGAAATGTAGTATACAAATATTGAGATTTTCATCTTCTATGAATTTTAAAATCGGAAGTAAATGTTCCCAAATGGCTGGTGCATCATGGCGTAAAGACTCTGATAATGTACACATCGACTGAACTTTCAGAAGTCCATTTTTACGATAATAAATGACCACGGTGTGCAGGGTTATTTGTTGTCGGTTACCCCCCGAAATGAACGGCTTGAATTTCATTACCGTATTTTGTGCTGTAATTTTATAAAGTCGCAGTGAATTATACACTCCTCCTCAGTGAGGTCGCTTTTCATTTTTTTAATAAACTTGTTTTGTGCGATCATAACTCCACAGTGAGTCATGTATGAAGGTAACATTTTTTCAAATTTTAAAATGGTGTCCCTGGGGAAAGTAGTCACTTTATCTTTCGTTGTGTGAATGGCTGTTTTTGTAACTCCATTCGTGTAATAAGTTTATTTTTACTTTTTTGCCAAATCCAGTAAAACAATACTTCAGTGTTATTGAATTCATTATAGATTAAACTTTTATCTTTGCAGTCATCGCATTTTCTAGTTAAACATGGCACATTCGAAGAGTCACAGCACAGTGAAAAATATCTTTGGTAGATTTTTCTTGAATTAAGTTGTTTTTTAAAGCAGTCACCATCAAGTCCATATTTTCATGTTCGATACAAAGACAGGTTTCTCGTTTATTTACATTAGGTTTCAGTATCCAAAACGGTCGTTTTTTGCAAAAACTGGAGTAACTAATTTTATTTTGGGGATTTGTTTGCTTAAACTTAGTATATAAGTCTTTTAACGAATCATTTAAATAGCGTCTTTGTTGTTTATTCTTTTTTTGGGTAATAAACTCTTTCTTCCCAGAACACATACGACTGTTTTCATCTTCTTCAAGAAAAGTTATGATGTCCTCTTCCACATTATTTTTAATTGTTTTTATAGTGTCTGATTCACTTTGTTTAATATCTTCAGTATTATTTTTACTTATATGTTCATATTCTCTTAATTTAGCACTTTGGTATTTTAATCTATATATCTGTTTTCGCTGTCGTTCGTTGACAGTCTTCAATTGATCAATCTTCTCTTTCTGTAACTGTTAGATTTTGTTCATACGGTATTTAAGTCTACGTATGATAACTTTGGTATTCAGTTTCTTGTTAGCTTTTGGAGTTGGAGGAAACTCCTTTTCAATCACACGAACTGATGATCTTGTACATGGCTTTGAAATTTTACTTACGTCACTAGACGGACTCAATGGTGCTGACGAGCCTCGATAAGCCTTAATACGCTGAGGTAAAGGAAATGAAACGATTGATGAACTTGATGGTAGCAAATCAACATAGGAACTTGCTTCAGTTTGAAGCAATTCTGATCGCATTGTTTGTGATTGTGAAGTCACCAAAGGATCGTCAGTTTTGTTGGTTACTTCTGGTACGATTATTAAATCCTCTTCAAGACACCTCATCTCTTTACGCCTTCTTTTCAATGTGGTTCAAAAAATGGACTTCTGAAAGTTCAGTCGATGTGTACATTATCAGAGTCTTTACGCCATGATGCACCAGCCATTTGGGAACATTTACTTCCGATTTTAAAAATCATACAAGATGAAAATCTCAATATTTGTATACTACATTTCATTTCTGATAGTCCGTCGGCTCAGTACCGAAACCGTAAAATGTTTTATATCATCAGTAAACTCCATTGGTACTTTCCCAGTTTAGTTTAGTTAGTTTCCCAGTTAGACTGAATAAAAACATATTTAGTTATGTCAATAATATCGATTCATGACAATGAAATTTTTTCGACGTGTTTACGATTTTAAGTAATGCATAAACCTCCGGGGCGCGAGGCCCCCTGGATCGCGATGCCGTAGGCGGTGGCCCACGTCGCCCACGCCTTACGCCGCCTCTGTACATAGGCTGCACTAAAAGTATCGGGAATAGAATATTTCCACTGTTCCTGTCATATTAAAATCTTTTTAATTGAAAACTCCTTGGTTTTAAAAATCGAATACCATTTATTTATTTAAAAAAAAGTCGGTCTTGTCACAAGGTTTTGTCAAACTTGTTTAGTCGTTAAGAAAATGGAATTGACTCGAAAAAATTCAAGAGCGATGATTTATTATGACTTTCGAAGTGGTTTAACACAAAAACAGTGTGTTGACCGGATGATTTCTGCATTTGGTGATGAAGCCCCATCCAAAACCACAATTTATCGCTGGTTTGCTGAACTTCAACGAGGACGTGTCAAGCTCAGTGATGATCCCCGTCAAGGTCGTCCAAAAACTGCAGTCACCCAAGAAACGTTGATGCTGCGTAATCGTATGCGTATGCGTATGCGTAAGCTGATTGAGGAAGATCGACATGTGACATACCGCGAAATTCAGGCAACTTTAGACATTGGCATGAGTCAAATACAAATAATCTTGCATGAACAATAAGGTGTAAAAAAGTTGTTTTCCCGATGGATACCGCATTCGCTCTGTAAAAAGCAAAAAGCGGCTCGCGTTACTGGGTGCGTCAGAACTCTCGAAAGAATCCACGCAGGATCCTCAAATGTTGTATACAACATCGTATCAGGTGACGAATCCTGGATATACGCGTACGAACCCGAAACAAAAAACCAGTCACGAGTTTGGGTGTTCGAAAATGAGTTAAAGCCAACAAAAATTGTTCACGGAGTGTTGCAAAAAAAATGGTGGCCACGTTTGTCTCCAAAACCGGCCATGTTACGACTATTCCTCTTGAGGGACAAAGAACGGTTAATGTAGAATGGTATGCTAGCATTTGTTTGCCACAGGTTGTTTCTGAACTCCGTAAAGAGAACTGCAACCGCCGCATCATCCTCCATCACGACAATGCGAGTTCTCACACCGCACACAGAACAAAAGAGTTTTTAGAGCAAGAAAACATAGAATTATTAGACCATCCGCCGTACAGCCCCGACCTAAGCCCTAATGAATTCTATACTTTCCCTAAAATAAAGAATAAATTGTGTGGACAGAGATTTTCATCACCTGTAGAAGCTGTGAACGCTTACAAAACGACTATTTTGGAGACCCCAATGGAATGGTGGCTTCAATGATTGGTTCCATCGTACGGAAAAATGTGTCAAATTTCGCAGAGAATACTTCGAAAAGCAATAAATACATTTTTAAATAATAATGTTGTTGCACTTCCTTGATTCCCGAAATTTTCAGTGCCGCCCCCATAAATTATCATGCTCAGGTCCTTCAATGTTTTGTAAGATCCTCCTGAAAAAATTTTAATTTTTCAATTTTCTTCTATACATTCAGTGTAAAAGAAATTATGTCTTTTAAATTCCCTTCGTGATCCTTTAAAACCTTTAAGTCACCTAAACAATTTTTTATATTTTTAAGCATATGACAGGGATCAAATACTACATAAATCTTGTGGTTTTTATCTATTGGGTGGGTCTTATTAATTAAGGCACTCTTCGTTTCAGCAGGCAACCGATTAATAAAAAAAGTAGGCGATTGGTATTTTCCAATTGCCTTTTAACGGAACAATCATAAAAACCAATGCATGCTTACAATCAGGTAGATCATTACATTCGGAATCAATGCCAAAATCAACGTAACCACGCGTTACACCATCACGGCTGCGAGAGCAACTTTTCTTTAAGCTCATTTCGTCTATGATCAAAGCACAAATTAGTGTTTCTCCATTCTATTTTGCTTGGTTACTTTTAAGTAGTAAAGCATTAAAACTTTCAACTAAGATCCCCGGATTCGAATCTACAGAGCTATGCCAGGAGCGTATTACCCGAGGATGTGGTTATGCTATATTAAACTTTTTTCTGACGAAAGCGTTTTGTTTTTGGTGAGTAAAAATGGAGAGTAATAGCAAAAGCTCTTAATTCCGGGGGATACTTAGCACGGCTGACATTTTTACCAGTATTTAATATCATCCTTTTGTTGTATCAACAATTGTGGCTTGAAGTCGTCATACAGATTTAATAAATTTGCACCGTCATCGTTAATTAATTTTCTTCTCTTTAATTCAATAATTACATTTCTTAAACAAGTAATGCCGACCTTTAATCGTTTCACATGTTGCGATAGGACTTTCACACGAGCTCGTGTGTTTTTCAAAAATTTCTGAACTCGTTCCAATGTCTTTTTGGATGATCTAGGGGAGTATTCATAACAATGATCATGCTTGATATTATTACGGACTTCAGAAATAGACAAAACCTTCTTTGAAGCGACAGTCTGTTCCCGGTAGCAACTTGTGTTCCGACCTATATACCAAATTTATATTGATAAAAAACACGAAAAAACAACAATTAAGAAAATTACACATGACATTTGCCACGGTTTGCTTGTAATAAAAAATAAAAGAAAAAGTATTCTGGGGGACTTGACGTATCACAATCCGTGGGTTCTTGATCGAACACTTCATTATCTTTGTCGGTGGATGTTGCGCGAGAGGAAGCTGCCAAAAACCGTGAATGTAAACGATGGCAAGAATTTGTAAATAAGAAGGAAACTAAAGTAGGGCCACTATGAAGTTAAGGCACAAATTAAATTTTGAGACTCGAGAGAATAATTAAATCTCTAGACTCGCACTTACTAAAACCCCATGGTGTTCTACCTCCGCCGCAAATTGGCAGTTCCACGGAAATGCTTTCATGCACATCCACGGCCCCTCCGCCGCCAGCCGCCAAATGGCGTCCCCTCCTTAGTTGCTGACTTCTCCTCCCCGTTTTCATTCTCAGATAAGGCGCACCAGAAGCAAGCCACACTGCCCTTCGCGTCCTCTAACTCCATCCGCACTACGTACTCCCCGAGCCCGATATGTGAATGGAGCCAGGGAAAAACGAGTACTTGAAAGCATCAAGTGGTGCAGCCTCACCAAAGTCGCAAAAGATAGTAGAGTGGCGCATTGCCAATCGCCATACCAACACTCCTCTTCCCTTACGACTCCACCTCGACTACAGCGGTACAAGGAGAGGAATCTCCTCTAGCCGCAGCCCACTAAAACACATACAACGTGGCTCGACATCATCAGGTGACCTTTCGACACTTGGCTATGGCCCTTGAGTTTGGTGGAAAATGAGGAAAGAAGAAATAAAAAACACTTTTATACTTACTGGTACTGGTACTGCCAGAAAATATTGTTGGTATACTGCACTTTTTTCAAAGTGGTGCAGTTCTCATGTCTAATAAAACAGTCGTCTGTGAAATGTTTGGAACAAATATGATCATTTTGTTTCGGACGCCAATTCACAATGTTTATGCTTTTAAGCATATATTTTTAGTCTAGGTTTAATTGGAAACCTGTTAATTAATAAACATTTGATAATCAACTGTTGTTGGCGACTTTGTTTGTTAACAGATATGGGTAGGAAAGAACATCGATAAGTATTATAGACAAGGAACTCGACAACCCTATTGAATTTTATTGTTTATCAAAACCTAGTAATATATAGCCAAAGATGTTGTTATATATGATATTAAGATTAGTAACAAATTTTTAAGTACTTATATTATCAAATGGTTTTAATTTGTTTGCACCATAGATCCTCAAGGTACCTCATGAGCTGGCTGTTTAAAATGGACTCCATTGTTTTGGAGAACAAGGAGGTGATGGCGATAGGCCGGTAGTTGGACGAGTCTGAGCGGTCGCCTTTTTTAGGGATCGGGTGGACGAAAGCCGTCTTTCATGATTTTGGGACTACGCCTAGGGAGTAGAAGTACCAGAAAAGACGCGTTAAAACCGGTGCCAACACTGGAGCACACGTCCTCAGCACAATTGGAGGGATTCCGTCAGGCCCACTTCGACTAGTGGATGTCCAGGGAGAGGAGTGCTTTGCGAAACGAGCGCTGTGTGAACTGCACTTCCGGCATGGAGCACTCACACCGCGGGATGGTCGGCGGCGTACTCCCCCCGTCATCGAGAGCCGAGTTGGACGCAAAGAAAGAGCCTAGAAGATCGGCTTTCTCGTTTGCGGTATGGACCAGTGAGTCATCCTCCAATTGCAGAGATGGAAGAGATGGCTGACAGAAATTCCCCTTGACAGCCTTGGCGAGAGACCTGAATGCACGGGTTCCAGAAGGAAGGCGAACTCGTTTCTCGCAAATTCTGCCTATGTGATCTGACTTTGCCTTGGCAATGATTCTTTTGAAGGACCTAGAGGCGGAATTATACTACTTTTTTAGAGCGCTGGTGTTTACATCCCGGGACGCTGATGCATCAGCCCAGGCATGGTAGCACTCCTGCTTATAGCATGATGCTATTTTAAAGGACAAACCATGGCTGAGATTTGCCTCCAATGGGCACCACAGAGGAAGGAATAAAAAGTTCGATACCCTGAAGTACCACATCAGCGACAGAATCCGCAACAACGTTGGGATCGTCCGGCGAGAAGCAAACCCGCCTTCAAGGGTAGGATGCAAAGAAAGACCGCATCCCATCCCAATCGGCTGACCTATAGTGCCAAACACGGCGGCAGCCTGCAGAATGCAACTGCGATTTCAGCGTGAGTGGCACCACACTCCGGACAAGACAATGGTCCGAGGAGCCTAAAGGGGCGTCGACGGAAATCTGATATCCGTCCGGGTGAGAGGTCAGCAGAAGGTCCAACAGGGAAGGTGCATGATCCTCCACATCTGGAATCCGCTTAGGCGAAGTAACCAGTTGTGTTAGACCATATGCCAAGGCAAAATCATGAACAGATCTCCCCGCATGATCGGTTAAACATGAACCAAGCCATTTGGCGTGATGGGCGTTAAAGTCGCCGAGAATCACGATCTCTGCGGAGGGGATCTGCTGTAGCAACGAATCTGTAGGCATTTGGACGTGGTCGAAGAGTCGGTCTGTTTCGGCATTACCGCTATGGGAGCTATAGAGGCACCCGTAGACGCGCGGATGGTCGTCGCTGTATACGCGTAGCCAAAGGATGGACAGGTCCGAACCTTCAAGTCTGCCGAGGCGTCGAGAACAGATGTCCTCTCTGACGTAAGCGCAAACTCCAGCCCGAGGCACAAAGGAGTGTTCCAGTTTGTACCCCGGGTAGGAGAGATACGAGACATCAGCCGGAGAGGACACCTGCGTTTCGGTCAGAAGGTAGTCTATCATCATTTAATTCCGCTACCATGTTGATGGGGGGGGGGGGGATTTGGGCCTCCGGCCACCTGCACTCACCAGACGGAACGCGGAAGCAGAGCTTCCACTTTACGCCGGTATTCTGTGAGAGCGTGGTACCACCCCGGTTTGAGCCGGCCCATACGTGCAACAGCAAAGCTCCCCCCTTGGCTCTACCACTGTTCCCTACAGCTTAATGCCTGAGCACCATTCCTAACTGATTTATCAGTAACACCTCCACCAATCTACGGCTTTCCTTCCCACAATTCCACAAATCTTTTACGCGAGTTTTAATTGATCTATAGTAGAGGATATGATCACAAACTGAAAACTCTATTCTAATTGATCTACTATAGATCAATTAGAATCCGCGTAAAAGAACATAAAGCTGATGTGAAGCATCAATGTTCCGGGAAGTCTGTAGTTTGTGATCATACCCTAGACGGCCCCAACCATTATATCAGATTTGATAGACCACAAATCCTCGCCGTCCTCGCCTCGCCTCGCCACAAAGAACACCGATTCCTACTAAGGATGATACGTGAGGCTATTGAAATTAAAAAAAACATCCTAATTTCAATAGAGAAGGAGGCTGGGTACTACCACCTGCTTGGAACCCAATCACCCAAAAAATGGGATCCTATAATCAATAAAATTAAAACTAAACCAAAGCATACCACTGCAAGACCTCGGGACATAGTCAGTTAATTTTGCATAGATCAGACCATAAACAATAATTAAAATAGCTGCAGGTACTCCGGGTTTAACAATGACATCGGGACGTCAGTCACCTCAGCCCCCGTGACCATGGGTGCTGGAAAGCACCCGAAACGTCGGGAATTAAAAATAAAAATAATTAAATGTAAAATTAAACGCGATAAAATCCGTAAAAGTAGTTTTAATCAATGTGTAGTGTTCGCGTAAATATAAGAAATCATTATGTTATTTACGTTTAAATGAAAACAAGAACTAAAAATTATGTGTTGAAAGTGATTCCGCTTTATTACGTTTTTGTGACCAATAGCATTTTTTTAAAGAATATTAACAATGCTATAAAACATTACTAATATTCCCCTTAACCACTCATGGTAAGCTTAAATTGCTTGTGTTACGAGTGGTTCACGCCAGTAGTCGAATGGTGGATTCGAACCCACGACCTTTTTGAGTTCGTGGTCCGCGCCCTGCCATTAGGCTACAGTCGCTTATAAATTTCACTACGCATTTATCCATTTTTTGTCGCGGCTCAACTTTGTCGGCGTCACATTGAACACCGAACTGACGTCGGCTTGGCATATGACTGTGGCCTTATGTACAGTGGCAACGCTTTTTTGCGGTTATTAGTGATCTAGTGTAATATATAAATCAATGGTATAATATGATTTAAATGGCTACCCCAAGTACTCTTGGACCATTCAACCAAACAAGTACTCAATTCCAAATGGCTTAAAAGACAAGCATTCAAGCCAAAAAATTTAAAACAAAGAAAATGTTTCTCTGTCTACGTTCCATTACGTAGAAACCTATCTCTGTCTACGTAGAGGAAAGTAATCGTAGACAGAGAAAACTATAGGCTGCGTTTGGCAGAAAAAGCGGTAGCAAGCACTTGTAAGCAAAATGGCGAAACTATATCATATATCATAAACAGTTTTCGGCCAGGACACGTTTGCTAACTTCAGTAGCGCTGACACAATCCGCCATTTTGCTTATTTAATTTGTTTGTTTTGAAGTAGAGTTTATAAGTTGTTTAGTGCAATATTAGTTTTAAGTAATCTATTGACATGAATAAAAATATACATGTTATTAAAAATTCGTGATTGGTAAGTTTTTAATATGAATACTTTACAAACATATATTTAAATTAGGTTAGGTTCCCCGGTTAAAACTAACTTCGTGTCCTAGAGGAAAATAGCTACTTACGATTTGACAGCACTTACCGCTTACGATCGCCATTTTGCTTACAAGCGCTTGCTAGCGCTTTTTTCTGCCAAACGCACCCATAGACTTATGGATTAGCGTGGCTTCGAGTGAGAAAGGACGATAACGTAGTTTTAGGTTATACAATAATCTTTATGACTTTTAAACATATTTAGATAAAAAATTAATTGTTCTAAGAACAGAACTGAACAAGATTCACCAATATTAAGCTCACAAAACACTTTTTTCTTACTTAAACCAACTTGTAAACTCCTTAGATCACTACGAACTGACAAAGTTGTTTAGCAAAGTGTAGTATGCTAAACAAAAAAAAAACGCCACGTAGAAAGGGACAAACAATCATACCGCTCTGTCTCATTTCTATGCAAGACGTATGCATAAATCTATCTTTTTCGTGTGCGAATGCGAAAGAAGGTGTCAATTTGTCTATAGGTTTCTCTGTCTACGAAAGTAATATGCCATCAAAACATAACTTGTAAAAAAAAACAAGTCTCGCAACTCAGTTCTTCTACCGTAAAAAGTTGTGAGATCCATGTAATACCAAGTCGGTTAATTTATTCACTTACTACTTAAGTGTCCTTCTGTTTTAAGTTATTACGTAATTAGCTAACCTAACAGCATTTTATAGTGACCATATCAATGTTAATAATCTTTTATGTTTTAAATATATAGATTGACTTGGCAATTGCACTAAGCAATCTAATTTAATATAATATGTGGTACTTGTGAGATACATTGTGATTTCATGCGATGGCCAAGTCAATCTATATATTTTAAACATAAGGCATTTTTAACAATGATATGGTCAATGTTGTTAGGTTAGCTAAATACGTAATAACTTTTATAAAGTTATGTTTTGATGGCATCTCATTTCTTGTTATAGATAAGATAGTTCTACTTTTTTACCTTTCCGGTACCTTCCACTTCTTGAATACCAACAACGTGCCTATCTACACCTGTTATACATATATTATAAGCACACTGATTCATTCACTGCAAATGTAACTTTGTAATTCTATATATTTATATGGGACTACAAAGTTATTTATGCAGTTAGTGTATCCAGAAAACTCGAGAGAAATTAACAAATATTTTAGTTTTTCCTTGATTTATACACTAAACACTAATTGTTTTCTAAATTTGAAGCTTCTGTATCTGCTGGAAGTGCCTTAGAGTTTTGATGATCGATCAGCCAGTGAGTGACAAAATTAAGAAACTTTGACTAGTTATAATTCTCAAACTACTGGTTCAAATTGAATGCAATTTAAAATATACTATGTTTATACAACGCCTACTCGGTTACTAAAAAATCAAGCTTCTAGTTTCATTGAATACGAAGATATAGAAGGTCGAATATGGCCTGAATTGCTTCGAGAAAAGTATGGTACGGCCGTGCCACTCTTTTGCTTGACTTACGATAATAACTATCTGTTATTATATTTCAAATTTCAAAGGGGGTTTTGGCGCGAACTTGGCCGTAGACGGATTGTCGCTCCTGTTTTGTCGCTTGAATAATGGTTTGAAGTAGATTTTGATTCGTAAAAGTGGTGCTATTTTGTGAATTAAGCGTCCGCACGTGTGAACTATTAGAGAAAACGACGAAACAAGTGCTTTGATTTCGATATAAACCTCAAGTTATTTTGATCGCTTAGGCGCCTTATGAACACGAGTGGCTGTCGTGATCAACTGGCCGCTGGGTTGAGCTGTCGTCAAAATCTCCCAAGTGCTTCGCAATGTGACACATCGGCATATTGCGAAGAAAAGAAAAAAGCGCGGGAACCTTGAAACTGGACTGATAAATCTATATGGATTGAAACTTATAAAGATTATAATATAAAGAAGATTTGACTTTAGCCTTTGTGGTTTTTGAAAATATGAAGAATTAAAGGAAATAAGACTTGGCTTCGGCCTTTATGGAATTTGAAGAGATGGAAAGAAGAAAAATAAGACTTGGTTCCGGCCTTTACACTTCAAAATTCTATATATTTAAATTTAAAAAAAGACTAGGCTGTATGGCTTAGTTCCTTTGCCTGCTCTCTCGCGCGATTAATAAAAACAACAACAATCAAATTTCAAAGCTTTCAACTTTCAAAGATTAATTTTTTATCACGGAAATGTTTTAAAGAAGTACTAAAAATTTATTGAAATACTTAGCAATTATCACGTAATGTCTACATCTAGCAATATTTCGCAGTCTGCTTATTCCCCTTCAGAACCAGAAACGCCTCAAGTATGGATTTGTTGATTTATGCTTGTAACTTAATATATTATTGTGTTCTTTGAATATCTTTTATGTAAAGTTCTGTTACATTTTTCAGAACACAACTCAAAACAGAATACAAAATTTTGACCAGTCATTAAACCATGAGGACCTTGGGCACAGCATCGAACAATCTCTAAAAAGTGCTCAAAAGGAAATACACCAAAAGAGAATTCAAACCATAAGAAAAGAGCTGGATTATTTGAAATCAACTGAATGGAAATTTGAGTCTTCTATTTTATAATGTTTTCATCAATATGGTCTTGGTTCAATCACTTCTTTACTAGTGATTGCAATGAAGATTCTGATGATGAATTCAAAGAAAATTTTCTTGCAGAAGAACTTGTCGATTTAGAAATAATAGGTAAACATGAAGACAAAGCTATTAAAACAGTTGAAATTCCTCAAATACCAAATGATGCCATTTGCTTCCAAAGAACAGGTATAATAAATGTATTATTCACTTACAATGTACCATTTATGTTGTATAATATTTGTTTCAATATCACTTAACTAACTTTATATGTCACAACTATTTTCACCAAAGAAATTTGACATCTAGACAGAAAAAATTATTCACTACTTACTGATAAATCTACTTTGATATAATTTTATATGTACTTGGCAGAATTTTATGCTATTATCTTTTTTTTACTTATAAGCTAGAGCTCGACTACAATCTCACCATGTGTTAGTGGTGATGAAGTCTTAGACCCTAGATGGTAAATTGTACTGTATTATCATAAAAGCTTATTCACTCATTGTAAGATTGTAAACAGGCAACAATTTATTTATCTCCTTTGCAGTTGTTTAAATAATCTACTGGATCTCTTAGATGCTTATTTACAAAAAAGTACTCAGGTGAATCATCCTAGCTAATTTTGCATCAAAATATTTGATATAAGAGTTTTAAGAAAAATTTAATTAATTTTTTAATATCCTTCTTTCCATAATGCATTTTTTTGTACAGAAATTAATGTACAGAAAGAACCTATGATATGAATGATTTTTTTTTTAATTTTAATTATTTTACAAACAATCATAATCTATAAATTTCTATCTAATGTAAATTAAGTAAGAGCCGTTATAGCTCAGGGGCTAAGCGTTTGCTATAAATTTCACAGCATGTTAGCAACCTGGGTCCGATCCCTGCCAGCACCAATGAAATTGTTAATTGCAATTTTAAATGCTTATTTACCGACATTCGACATTCGACAGTGAAGGAAAACATAGTGAGAAAACTTACAGGTTGAAATTTTGAATCGTTTAGCAGGAATTTGGAGGAGTAAGATATTTTATTTGGTAGAGATTTGGTCCCCGATAATAATAATACCACTCACATTAAAAGGTGATGCACTGTTCTTGAGAAAAATCAAAAAGAAAATCTCATAGAACTAACCTCAAAATGATCACTCAAAATGAATTTAGGGGGTGGAGGTGGTGGGGAAGGAGGCAGGGGAGTTATAGGGTCGCCCCCCCTACTCCCACCTCCTTCCGGATGTGCTTAGTTTTTAAAATTTATAAAATTATTATGTTTTTGTAATGTTTTTGACTATAAACCTGATTTATGGGGGGAGAGAGTTAGCGGAGGGAAGCACCACATAGCGCAGCCGAGGGAAGCCCAGTCGACGGAGCCCCGCTTTGCAGGGCTCCTACTTCTGAGTGGCTTATAAAATAATAACCACAAAAGGGGATGGCGCCATCGCCTTCTAACCTAACCTGTCCGAGTCGGGATGCCCTGAGTCCCAAGCTCGCTTTGCTCGATCTTACACTTAATAAAACACCAAGATATTAACTTTTGTAAAAAAATTATCCAGAGGGGTAGCGAAGTCATCGAAAATCAGGCGAAGGCAGATAACGTTAGGGAGCACATTAAAGCTACAATAATACACTGAAGAGCACATATTCACGCAAGAAGAGCAACCAATGGTGAAATGCATAAAAATTAGTATATCATGAATTTGACACTTGACAGAGAGTATAGACAGTAGGATAATGTGACAATAGTCTTACGTCCTTGTCGCACTTACACAAAATTCAGTATGCTATCCAGCTTTCACAGTAATATTGCATGTTTTTCCATGTTTTACGCATTTTAGGTTATAATAGTTTTTATTTATTTTTTCGATAACGGTGCATTACCTTTTAATGTGAGTGGTATTATTATAATCGGGGACCAAACCTCTACCAAATAAAACACCTTACTCCCCCAAATTTTTGCCAAACGATTCTAAATCCAACCCAACTTACATGTCTGAGAAATAAAAAAAATATTTTGAAGACATGTTAAGTTTGCTAACATGCATTGGAGCAGCATGGTGCACATTTCCTTGCTCTAAAACTCTCTCAGAAATTTGAAGAGACATGTACCCAGCAGTGGGATATATATAGGCTGTTAGTTTAATGTTAATTATGCAATATGAGTTTCCTCTAATATAATATTTAAAATTATGATAACTATTCTTGAATGGTTTTTTTCAGGTGTGATTACATTTAAGGATGATAACTATGTTTTAATTGATGGAATGTTATACTTTGATACAACTGTCTGCTCCCATAATTTACATGTTAATGATCAGGTCTTATATTTAGGTTATAAAGATTTAAATGAGTCTATAATTGTTGTTCGAATATTGGAAAATAAAGGTTTGTTTTGGGGTGAAGATGTAGATTCAGAAGAAAACAAATTTCGTGTTATTGAACACATTCTGATTGGTGAAGTTCACTATAGAGAGGCCAGATATGTATTCATTAAAGAATCCGACTTAAAATTCAATCTAGATAATGTGGAAGGAACATTTGTACCTGTCAAAGGGGATTGGCTGGAACTGAAATGTACAGTTCAATTAGATGAGGACAAGCCATCAGATATTTCTATGGAACAGGTATACCCTTTATACATTTAAGTTAAAAAAATTGTGTATTTACAACGTTGTAGGATTATCAGTATTCTATAATTTAAATTTACAACTATTACATACAATTTACCTTACCTACATTTATGTATTGTAAAAACAATACATATTACTTTTTCTCGTCTAAAACTCTGGCCCTCACATATTTCTCACTGGAGGAGTTCACTGTTCCACTGGAATGCATATTTTCAATGGGTGGATTGTTTTGTGCAATGAGTGAACTAGGTGGTAGGATTTCTTTGTTTACTTAGAGTATGTCCGAGTAGGTTCACCTATTTACCTATTTTGGTCACTAAATAGCAATATTTGGACAGTAAGTTTGTTGGCATATCAGTTTTATAAAAAAATAACGGGAAACTTTAAACAAAAATCAAAATAGTTTTCAATGTAAGCAGCAAAATTAGTAAAATATTATCAAAATTTAGTATTTGATATATATTACACAGAATAAAGGTGACAAATGAGTACACAGTTCACTCAATGGTAAGTGGATGCTGTGGGCCATAGACATCTATCCTATGACTCAGAATCAAAATACAGATCTGTTGTCACCCTAGAGGATCATGATGGAATGCCTTGTTTTCAGTGAAAAGGGTAATTCTATGTAATATATCTCTCCATATGAAACACAGTAGCATTAAGTGGTTGGTAATTTATTAGTGAGATGTAATATTTTATCATTAGTGTTTATTTAATTATATGTCAAACAATAGACTGTCCAAACAATTTACATATATTGTTAATAATAAGCCCAATGGTTAGAACAGTTATTAAAAAAAACCTGCCTAGGTGCAGTTTATTGAAATGAGAAAATTTTTATACCCTATGTCAATTATACTAATCTAATAATCCCATTATGTTTAAATCCAGCAAGCCGTTTAGCCTACCGAGCTTGCCAAACAAATAAACATATATACATACATGCATAGTACGTACATAAAGTTGAGAAGCATTATCTTTATGGCACAGTCATGTGAAAACTTGAATTAAAACTCCCCAGCCATACATTGTGATTGTTAATATCTTAAAAAATTGTTTTGAAATTAAATGATTATAAATATTGATTAAAACTACTTTTACATAATACTACTAATACTATTAATTATTATTGTAAAAGCTGAAGGTAAGGGTTAACACTGACATCGAGACGTCAGTCATGTTAGTCTCCTGTGACTATGGGTGCTGGAAAGCACCTGAAATGTCTTAAATTAAAAATCATATAAATTTAATGCGATAAAATCTGTAAAAGTAGTTTTAACCAATGTGTAGTGTTCGCATAAATATAATAAATCATTATGATTATAAATACTCTGATTTATGGAATGTGCTGGTTTTAGCTGATTAGTTTTTCCTTTCTTTTCTAATGAAAATCTTTGCATCACTGTCTTACCTAATCCAAAGAGATCCCTTCCTCTCGTAATTCTGTGATGGTTTAAATATTTGATGATATCGAACTCCAATTGCAATAATATGAGGTTGTCTTCTCATCGGATGAAAAAACAACAGCTGAGGTTACACAAGTTGTAGAGCAATCCGCAGGTCAAGATGGCTGGCACAATGACCAAATCGAATCCCAGGATCCGAAGAAACAATTATGGAAACATGCAGTATGCCATTTGAAATTCTAACATGGCTATCCGTATACCCCTAAGCAAGCAAAGTCGGACTGTCTTTAGGGATCTGAAGCCAACGTTAGTACCTTATTAGGACGCCAGCCGGAACCTTTAACTCATACTTTTAGGCGCTACATTGGCATTCTGCCGTATTATTGGCACCAAGCTTTACACTACTAAACAAAGTAGTGTCATATCAGCTTGGAGGAACGAGTATGGCAAAGGCAAGGCCTCTCATCGGCAGACTGATAAGGACAGGCAATAACAGACCAAAGATTGTTCGTATTGTCTGGATAGTGTTTGGTAGAACTAATGTTGGTTTATATTAAAGTGCATAGCCGACCTGAAGCAGCGAATTGTTGCTTGAGGAAAACGAATTCTACGATATATCGGGACATGGTATAACCACCATTGTCTCTTCCAAAGTTGTCAGAAGAGGCTCTATAAATCTTTGGTGTGACTTATTGTATGTGGGATGACCCCTTTACCGAACCAAGCCGACACTGTCACCTTCTGGCCACAGCCTTTGGTTGCAACCCGTAAACCATAGCAAGGGCCTTAGGACTAAATTTGTGACGAGTCAATGTGCGAGTATTACGCCTGTGGACGCCGTGTCATCATAATACCGGATGACGCAGTTGAGACGATGCTGGAACAGAAGTCTCGACTCAATGGGCTGCATCACTACTGGCTGAAGTGGTTTATAGTGTGTTACGCTGTGCTCGCCTGATGGTTTTAAGTCCTGTCAAACAGAAGTTGCTCCCGAGCCTTTTTACAACTGGGATCACTCAACACCTAAACATAAATCTGCTGATGTGCGCTCAAAACGGATGTCATACAGTTGTGTTCGTGATGCTGAGGAACCACTATCGACGCGGTCGTTAGCTGGGTGGTTACACAACCGTCGTCATACTAGACTACAGAAAGGCATTCGACTCGTTATCATAAAGCCATTTGGCTTAAGAGATTCCTCGAGCGAACACGTTTGACTGTACAAGACTTACTCTGATATTATATGGAGCAATGTAGTACGATCCTTTGTCATTTAGGCAAGCGGATGGCAACTGCGGAAAGTCGTATAAAGATAAGAAGATATATCTTTTACCAAGGACGATTGTTTGATTCCAATCTAGTTTTGCCTTTCTGAAACCTCTTAATACCTTACTAGAGAGCTCCGGGAAGGTATGAAAGGAGGGACAAAAGTGACTGTGAAAAGTGAAAATTGATATGGATTTTAAGTTATTCGCCTCCAGGTGCTGCCATCTTATGGTTTTGTTAAACATCACCTGTGGTTTGAGCAATTCTATCAGAATGGAGCAAATGGATAGTTGTGCGGTCCTTCATTACCAAACCAACAAGCGCTACAGTGAACCCAACCTGGGTATATCACATGTACAGATAGATACCTGCTCAGAAATACGGTCTCGTGGATCGCGTACCGTGTGAGTTACTTGCCGAACTGGTGGTCGAAAGGATCCGAGCTAGGCTCTCCTAGGACTCTGGGACTGGGCCATCATCATGGATAGGCTATTCTTGCGAATGAGACTAATATTGTGTTGATGGTCCAGGCACATTCAAAGATATTTTGGTTGATATAATTATTCCGTATGATGAGAACCTTGTGAAAGCCGAAACACATAAGCGAACAAAATATATGGAGCTGGTTCACGAGGGGACCAGACATGTAGAGAGGTCTGCTAACCGAAATTATTCCTTTTGGTAATCGTTTCTATGAACGGGCTAATCCCGGCGACTGAGACTTTGTGACGGTCCTCTCCGAGTTCAAATATAGAAAGCGATGCTCCTTGATACAGCCCGCATCATCCGCCGGTTTTTTCTCTTCTCCCTGACCCTCGGCCGTTTGTGAGTCTTCCCTGCCGACGACTTCCATCTAGTTAGTATTTATTTATGTATTTATTTTACTGTATTATAATCAATACATACTTTTATATTAAGTATTTATCATTTTTAAGATTAATACAGTTCAAGTAGATGAGTCTGTCTGATGTCTAGGCTAATATTTGAAATGGCTGAACGGATTGCGATAAAACTTCACGAACCAAATAGAGAGCAATGCCGGGGGTCTAGGCGAGGCTATATTTTATTTGAAAACGTACAGGATTTTCGCGAAATAGCCAAACCGATAAAATAAATGGCTTTGATAATAATGTCACAAAACCAACATAGATTTCTATAATTTTCTTTTGTAAAATTGATTTCTGACTAAACTTCTGATTCGCAATTTTACAAGTTCCTTTCCATAACCTTGCTCACTCTCTTTGATTAGCTCGCTTTTGTATTGTACCTACACATTTTGTTCAAACCCTTTCTTATATATAATTAAATAACTAAATTATTGCTATAATAATAATTTAAATTCGTTTATGTTTTATAATATTATCACAAACTTAAAAAATGATTTAGCGACGGGAATCGACAGAATACCTACCTACGCGAGTCATAAAATGTGCTAAAACAGTCTGATTCCTCCCGTAACATAAATGTGTAATCTTTATTTTAAAACCGTTATTTTTCCAGATATCTTAAAGATGGCTGTAGTTTGCCCTATACATCAGGAGTGGCGACAGAGACAGTGTTGAAAAATACCGGCCCGTATCTGTACTGAGGGCGTTGTCCAAAATACTTGAAAAAGTTTTAAATCTCATACACAAATTTTCTAAATCACAATAAGATTATTTCAGATAACCAATTTGGCTTTGTGAAAGATAAATCTACTGAAGACCCAGCAGATTGCAAAGCATCTTGATAATAAGTCAAAAGTTATAGGTGTTTTTCTTGATTTGTCAAAGGCCTTCGACACTGTCTCTATTGTACTTCTTCATAAGTTGGATTGATCGGCGTACGAGGGATTGCTTTGAATATATTTCGATCTTACCTATCTAATCGCACGCAGTTAGTTAAAATTGGTGATTACACTAGTTTACCTACTACTGTCTCGTTTGGTGTACCACAAGGTAGCATACTAGGCCCAACTCTCTTTCTTGTTTACCTAAATACTTTATGCACACTTGCCTAACTGCAAAATCATTTCATATGCCGACGATATAGCTTTAATTGTATATGGTAAGGACTGGAATGAAGCCCAATACAATAGAGAATATGCGCTTGGTAAAGTTATGTGGTGGCTTAATAGTAATCTATTAAAACTTAATGCAAACAAAACAATATATATTACCTTCACTCACCATGTCAGTACCCAACCATCAGCAGAATTGTGTTCCAAAGCACATACATATGAACAACATAGCATATGTAACTGCCTAAAACTAACTCGTTCCACTAACATAAGATACCTCGGACTTATCATAAAGCTATTTTAGTCAGCGCATATAAGCAAATTAACCTGCCGTATTAGAAAATTTATTCCAATATTCAGAAAATTGAGGAATTCTGCTGAGTTTGAAACATCGCTATGTATTTACTATGCCCTCCCTTGCTCAGACTTTACCACAATACTTCATTGTAACCTGGGGTGGAATTGGAAAAACAACTCTACTCCCCCTAGAACATGCTCATAGAGCAATATTAAAGGTTGTGCAAGGTAAACCACAAAGATATAACACCGAACTTATATTTAGAATGTTCCATACTTACTGTAAGGCAGCTTTATGACATTTCTGTTATACTGCGTAAGCACAAAAATACAGATTTTAAACCTAATTTAAAACGTAACAAAAATAGAATTTGTTAAATGACTTCTCATAGAACTGCTCTAGCACATCGTCAATGTTATGTCACTAGCAGTTATTTATATAATGTAGCAAATAAAGTAAATAATATTAACCCTTTGTTCCTTAATAAATGAAAGGACAAAATTCGAAATTGGTTGCTAAATCTTAATTACCTGGAAACAGAGAAATTAATCAGTGTTTAAATCCTAACACACACTCATACACACACAGGTTTGTGGTAATTAGAAAGTTTGTTTTTCATTTTTCCATATTTATCTTAATTTGTTTGTATTGTGTACCAAAATAAGCTTTTTTTGTATTACTCGGTGTGGAAGACACTGACTGCTGTAACATGCTGTTTATCCTAGTATGGCCGTTAACGCTAACTACTTCGAAATGTAATTTTGTAATTTAAAATAGATATAATACATAAGTGTAATATGTTAAGTTGGGAGTCAAATAAATTATTATTATTATTATATTTACATTTTTAGGTGCTATCAGTGGTATCTTTCAAACCATTAAGGAGCAAAGTTGTAAGTGCAAACATTAATTATTGGACTGGAACATATGGTGTATGTAATAGGATAATATATTTTGATAAAAATTGTATATTAAATGGATTCGAACCTCTCATGGGATCTAAAGTAAGTTGTTGAGCAATCTCTATCAGTAATAATAAACTATACTAATACCGCTTAAAATATTCTATAATTATTTTTAGGTTATGGTGGAAGCCATAGAAAGTAACCAAGGCTTGTGCACATGGAGGGCTATTAAAATGATAGAAGCTCAAAAATCCCCTAGTGATATTATCCAACTTGAAACCAATGATGATGCAACAAGTATACAGGTTGAAAAACAAAAGAATATTGAGATGACCAATCCTCTGAAATTTGAAAATTTACATTTTAAGCAAACCTCTAAAATAACATTAAATGTTACAAATAAAAGTAATGACATGTATATTTTAAATAAGTGGATTGTGACAAGTAAAAAAAGAGATTCTCAAATTAAAATCGAACCATTTTTAACTGATCCTGTGCGACTTTATCCTGGGCAAACCATTCATTTTACGATAACATGCTATCCAAAATTTTTGGGGAAAGCAAAAGAATGCTTAGTCATGTTATTTCGAGGTTTCCAGGTCAAAAGATTTATTGAAATAAATGTCATAGAGGAACAGCTACAATTCAATAATAATGTCAGTCTTCGTGGGGTTACTTATAAAACTCATAGTGAAAAGGTTGAAAACATGAAAAAAATAAGACAGAATGACATAACATTCATACCTGGGGAGAGACCTGTTAAACCACCAGCATTTGTCCCAGTAAAACTTGGCGTTTTTCCAGTTCCAGAAAGAATATGGGATGTTGTTCTAGGTGATTCTGAGCAAACAATGTATAGTAACGATTATGACAAAATAATTGAACGAATAGAAACAAATTTTCCTTGTTTATCAAGACCATTGAACATTGCCAATTATATTGATAAATGGCATACTTTAATGTATATGGAAGAGATACAAACAAATATAAGCATGAGAGCATATGACATGCCGAAAGTGTTTCTCATTAGATGCCAAGACTATCTATGTGTTGAAATAAATGGCCTGTCCGAGAGAAGACCGTCATTAGTTAAAGGGGATAGAGCTATTGTAAAAGATTTATGGGTTACTAACTCTCCTCAGTATGAGGGTTATATTCATGAAATTAAAGGTGATTTAGTTCTAATGAAGTTTAATCGTCAATTTCACGAATCATACAATGGTAGTGATGTTTCAGTAGAATTTCATTTTAATAGATCAGTATTTAGGCGATCACATCAAGCTATCAACTACGCGATTTCCCATTTGGGTCCCGATATTCTGTTTCCGTCTCGTGTCATGTTACGAGAACCTCAAGTATCCAAAGAAAAACTATCAACAACGCATTGGTATAACAAAGACTTGAATGAAGGTCAAAAGGCTGCTGTTACAAATATATTATTAGGAGAATGTCGCCCAATGGCGTACTGTATTTTTGGCCCGCCTGGAACTGGCAAAACAATTACAGTTATAGAGGTGATATTGCAAATATTGACTCTTATACCAGAGAGTAGAATTCTTGTGGCAACTCCTTCTAACAGTGCATCAAATTTAGTGACAGAGAGACTGATACAATACAGGAATGAATTTGATGGCTCGATTGTGAGGCTTATTGCTAATTATTTAGTTGATTCTGAGAATATACCAGATACTATAAAGCCTTATTGCGCAACACTCGATATTGCCAAAGAAGAAACGACAAAGTCTAAACATGCAATAAGGAATGGGATAAATATAGATTGCCGAAAATCATTTATTGGTAGGCATCGTGTCACTATTGGAACATGTTATTGTCTTGGTTCATTGGCTCAAATTGGATTGCCCAAAGGTCATTTTACGCATATTATAGTAGATGAAGCAGGACAGGCAACGGAGCCTGAAATTATGATTCCAATGACTTTCATTGACAAAGATAATGGCCAAATTATTCTAGCAGGTGATCCAATGCAATTAGGGCCTGTGGTGATGTCAAAATATTGTAAAGAGTATGGTATGGAGGAATCATATATGTCTAGGATTTTAGAATGTTTCCCTTATCAGAAAGACTATGATGCATTTAAAAATGGTTATGATAACAGACTTATAACAAAACTGAACGATAATTACAGGTCTTTAGAGGAAGTTATATCTTTGCCAAGTGAAATGTTTTACGACGCAACTCTGGTAGCTAGAATTGATAGAACTCAACCTTGGATATCAAAAATTATTAGTGCTACTTGCGAAATTTTTGATTTAGAAAGTGCAGAATCAGGTGGTATATTTGTACATGGAGTTAGAGGTATTAATAGAAGAGCTGAAGACAGTCCGTCATGGTATAATCCACAAGAGGCCTCAATGATAGCTTTGACTACTTGCAAACTGTTAAAGAGGGGTATAACCACAGATGAAATAGGGATTATTACACCTTACATAGCACAGGTATATATTCCGTATATTTTTTAATGATCTTAATCAACCCTTAAACTGTAAAGGCTGTAATAGTATAATGAAGATAGGTTCTTTCTTATTGTAAGAAATAATTTCCATAATTGTTAATGATTCATGCATTATAACATCTGGCATTTTCCATAGTTTACTTTTACAACACGAATATGAATGAAGGATTCTCATTGTTGCCACCACACAGTGAAATAATATCACAATGTATTATTCACCATATACCAAATAATGTATTCACCATCACTATCACACAATCCATCACAAGTCCACTGATGTCCTCCCCCATAGATAGCCACAAAGTGTGGTTGTTAGCCATCTGCATCCATCGACTACCTGTGTATTTAACCAGGTCGTCACTCCCATCTAGTTCGTTAGTCTTTCAACATTTCGGTTCCCAGAACGAGATCTTTATAGCTATTGGGCCAGCCCACTGCCACTTGAGCTACTAATCCGGTGGGCTATCTCGGTTAATTACTTTTATCCTTCTGCGGATAATCTCGATTCGGATTTATTGCGCATAATACAGGTATATTCAGAACTAATCGTGAATATTAATATGTGCCAAATAATTTTATTCCAGATAAAATATTTGAGGCTCTTATTTGAATCAATGGGTTTGCCTCAACCGAAAATTGGGACTGTTGAAGAATTCCAAGGCCAGGAACGGCCTATTATTCTTATATCTACTGTTAGATCTACAGATTCATTGGTGGAAGAAGATCAGAAGCACTGTTTGGGTTTTGTAAAGAATCCGAAAAGACTGAATGTTGCTTTAACTCGAGCCCAAGTGTCAGCTGTTCTCTTTTGCAATCCTCATCTTCTGTGTTTGGACTCTTTGTGGAAACGAGTAATCGTAAATTCCCTTAAAGAAGACAAATATTTGGGATGTGATATTCCTGCCTATGTTTTAAATAATTCATAAATAAATCTAAGTATTAAGCTTGGTGTGTGTAATTTTTAGCTTTTTGAACTTTCTGTGTAAAAAAATAAAATTATCTTTAGAAATTAATGCTCAGCATAGAGGGACAGCATTTCATTCCGGCACACCGCTTGCATCTTTACAAGGCGCAAGTTAGGCCTCACATAGAATACTGTTCTCATATTTGGACCGGGGCAACTTAGTGCCAGCTCCTTCCATTTGACCGCATCCAGCGTAGAGCGGCTCGAATCGGCGACAACCGAGTTCTTTCTGATCGACTAAATTTACTGGCGCTGCAAAAGATGTTGCATTCCTTTGCATTTTATATCCAATTACCACGTAGAATGCTCTGAGAAATTGTTCGGATTAATTCCAGTCGCCAAATGTCACCAACTCCCGCGACTAACCTCACGACACGCTTATCTTTTCTTTTTTCTTCCTCGTACTACTTTGTAGAATCGTATACCACCGGCGATTTTTCCGGACCGATACGACTTAGGGACTTTCAAGAAATGAGCTTTAAAAGGCTGGCAACATGCCTGCGATTCCACTAGTGTTGCAGTTGCTCATGGGCGGCGGTAGATACCACCAGGTGAGCCGCATGGTCGTTTGCCCCTCTTTATAAAAACATATTGACACAAAATGAAAAGATAATAAAAGGGATATTTACGAGAAAATTATACTGCTAAAACTGATGGCCGTTTTGTTGGTAGTAGGGTAAAACACCTATTTGTTGGCATTTTACTTTTGCTCATATAATATAAATTTAAACAAAGAAGAGGGATTTAAACTCTTCTAATATCATTAAAGAACGTTTTTCGGTACACATTATTTTAGATTACGCAGTTTGATTTAATTTTTTTTTAAATTAAATGATGTTGAGTGGAAAGACCTGTTATTGGCTCACCTATACGTATTACAATATGAGCATAACATACCCAGGTAGATTTATGTGATATTAATTTAGGAATAGGTTACAGAAATAAATTACTAGAAGAGTATTAAAAAATGATATTTATTTTTATCAAAGAAATAGTTTAGGAACTTCTTTTAAGTTTCTTACAAAATATTATAAAAAATTAAGTAATCATTAACAAAATAATATAAAATTATAAAAAGTAATTAATTGAGATCGTTCATAATAATCATCTAATTCAGTCAACATTTTGAGATTGTTGTATCTTTGTATCAATTATCTAATTCCGTCAACATTTTTTCTATTTCAGCAGTGGTATATGTTCTATTACCAATACTCCATCCTCTATGCTGTCTGTCTAAGATATCAATTAACTCCTAATCATTTTCTTTATTTTCAACAATGGTATCTTCACTATCAAATTTATAAAATATTTTCTTTCGTTCCCTTTCTTCTTTTCTTTTCTTGATCCCTTCTGCTTTCCACTGTGCCGAAGTTAGTACAAACGGGGGTTTTACAGAGTTTTTAACTCCTTTTCTTATCGGTGTTTTAGGTAATATCAAAATATCTTTTAATTTAACGGGAGTAAGATTTTTCATGTTCATTGAAGCTGTGAGGGATGGATTACATTGAACTGAAATAATCTGTACTGATTGAGACTTTGGTAAATCTATGTTCTGGTCTTCAGGTGTATTATGTATTTGAACACAGTGGTTTATTAATTCAAAATGTGGTTCTTGTGATAAATCTTCAATTGTCTTATTCCCTTCAACTGAGCACTCTAAGATTTAATCAAAATCAATTTCTTCTGAAATAGGGACTAACTTTGATTCTTCGGGTTCAACAATATTATTTGGCCAATCGTTAATAAATATTGGAATATTCTCAATGTCCAAATGACTAAAGTCATCATCTTTATTTATGATTTCTAGATTTTGTTGTTGAGAAATGGTGTTTTGTGAATTTGATGGTGTGCCGAAGAAATGCCAGATTCTTTTTATCAACTCAATAGACTCTTCCGATGTTAACTCTCCTTTTTCTATGCAATCAACCTTGTTCTTGCCTACTAATTTAACAAACTCGTCTTTAGAGAGTAATTTCTAGTTATATCGAGTGACGTGAGGTGATTTGGTGGTTTTTGTGCCTTTAGTTCCGAGGCATCTACTGTAGTCTACTGCTTCTGCGTTCCATGGACAAATTCCTGGTGCTCTAAACCCGTTGATAATAGTTTGCGCCTTTATGCTTTTTTCTATTGTGACTTTAAGCAATGGCACAAATTGAGTCTTAGTGAGTGCCTGGGACGGATTTGTTCTACGCCATTCCAAGACAGTTTTTTACCATTCTGTTTTTAGAGGCTTGAATGCAGCAACGTCAGCAGGCTGTAAAAGCCATGTACAGTTTGGATAAAGTGAAATCAAAACTATTTGCAAATTAGAACAAAGTTCACTCACGGCATAAGTAAGGTGAGACTTGTGACTGTCTGCAAAAAGTATGACTGGAAATATTATGCCTGTTTTGACCAAATGGGGATGAAAAACGTTCATAATGTATTCGTAAAAAATATCTGAATTCATCCACCCATTCTCACTAAGACCCACGCCCCAATCTTCAGGAATTTTAGTAGTTATTTCTGCAGGTAATCTTTTATTAAGAAAAATGACCATCGGTGGAGTAAGAATGCCATCTGCGCAAAAAGTAAACATAACAGTCAACGAAGTTTTGGCCTGGGCGTGATCAACTTCATACACGTTTCTTTCTCCTTTCGAACTTAAAACGAGACCTGTTTTAGGGCACAAAATAAAATTTGTTTCATCTCCATTAAATACTCGTCTTGGGTCAGAAAGTATGTGAAATGAATTGTTTTCATCATAGTCTTTGATTTGCCTAAACCATCCACCAACATCACTTTCTGACACTGTTGAGCTGGCAGCTGTAACTGCTTCAGGTGTACGAAAAGCAAGCGTAGAATGTCTGGCTAAAAATAATTTAAACCATTTCTCACCACTTTTAAAAGAAGACGCCCGATTAGATTTTTTTAGAAACCCCGAAACACTTTATCAAATCTTTTCGCTTTGGGAAGCCTTTTTGGCTACTGAGTTTGAACCAATTGACTAAAGCCTCTTCTTCTTCGTTATTTAAAATTGTGGGAGGGCCTGGTTTAGAGCCATATTCTGGCCTTTTTAATCGGAATTGTATGGTCGAACGCGGCACTTGGAAGGTCTTAGCAGCAAGTTTTTTACTAATGCCCTTAGCTATTTATACAAGGGCTTTTTGCAAATTTTCTTCAGAATAAACCTTCCGCTTTACCTTATCAGTCTTTTTTTTAAGCTATTGCATAGCTTCTATCGCGGGCCTTGAGTGCGGGAAAATCCCGAAATTTCGTAACGAAAAAAAACCTCACGCTCTCCGATGGGCACGGAGGTGTGGCTTGAAGGCCGTGCATTGTCTAACGATGGTCTAACGTCGTTTCTTTTCCTCAGTCTTCGACACGGTGTTTGTGTATAAAGTGTTTTGAAATTTGAATATGAATAAACAAAGTGCATTTATTATTAATGAAGAAAGTCACAAAAAAATAGTGAAAGAAAATGAGTGAGTACTCTATATACATACCTACATTTTATTATTATCACAAATGCAGTACTAATTTTGAATTGAAAATATAATACTGCTATAAAGATAACCTAAATTTTTGATATTAAAATGAGCGATTTTAAAAGTAGCCCTCTTTATATACACACAAACACACACACGCGTATAGTTTAAATTCTCAATTTAGATTCTTAACCGGACTAATTGTTGCCGTTAGGGATTCGGATAATCGAAAATCCGGATGATCGAATGTATGAAGAAAAGCGGGTTTTGTGCATTTGTAGTACATATGTACATACATAATGTTATGTGTTTATTAAAAACAATTTCAACGAAAATCAATGTCTATTAAGAAATTATTATTTTTTAATAAACATTGATTAAATTCCATGAAGAGATATAAATCTATATAACCATCCGTTACTTGCGACAAACGAGCCGCCGTCACCTAATTTTTTATTTAACTGTAATGCTTTTTCACAAAGCAAAGGGCCAGATATCATTTGCCCAGTTGATCGTTTTTGTAAAAACCAACAATACAAAGCGTCTTCTAATTGCCAATTTACTCGCGGACATAGGTCCTTATGTCCGGGACGGGGGTTTGTTAGCGCTTGATAGTAGATCGTCTTATCTCAAGCGGTGTGAACCGACGATTAGTGAGGTGCGGGAGGGGGGAGGCTAGCTGCATTTGTGCGCGCGGTCGGTCACCCCTAAAGTTGGGCGTTATAACATACAACAGATAATAAATTTCATTATATATTTTTAATCTTACAACACATTAGAATAATGAACCATTGACTGTTATAATATTATATTCATTATCGTTAGAAAGCGTCATCTGTTTACGTTTACGGTCCAACCGTCGCGTCGGCCGAGACAATGGGAGTCAATAAAATACTACCTATATTCATTATGCCACAAGGATTGCGTATAGCTTACACTAATTTAAACTCTAAGCTAACTTAATAAGAGCTTATTTTACTAACACTAAATTATAACGGTAAACAAAAATATATTATTTCCTCCATTAGTTGCCTGTTGTGCCTGTTATTTAATTTGGCTGTTGTAATATATAATATATCAGTTTAGTGTTCAGTTAGCTGTCTAGCTGAGATGACAATGACACTGTTATCTGTTAAATTATATACGTAATGTTTTGATAGCAGGTCCCCATATTACGTGAAAAAGCTATTGTTGTTTTTGTTTATTTTTCGTTAAACAAAACGCGAACACAGCCGACGACTGAACTGAACTAACCGCGTGTACAATGTAATATTTAAAACTGTTATAATATATTATAACAGTTTAAAATAACAGTTAGAAAAATATAGTTGTTCATATATTGAAAGCCTCCTTGTTTTGTCTTAGACTTATGTTAATAGAGCGTGCCATTTGAACTTAAAGACAATTAATTGGACAATAAATAATAAGTGACAAATCTTGCCGTGGAGCGTGGAACTGAGTAGTTGCGCGTCTTGTTAATATAATTGCCGTACGG